GACCGGAGTCGGGTTGAGGCGGATCGGAGTCGGAATGAGGCGGATTGGAGTCGGGATGAGGCAGACCGGAGTCGAGTTGAGGCGGACTGGAGTCGGGATGAGGCGGACCGGAGTCGGGTTGAGGCGGACCGGAGTCGGGATGAGGCGGATTGGAGTCGTTTTAAGGCGGATCGGAGTCGGGATGAGGCGGACCGGAGTCGGGTTGAGGCGGACCGGAGGCGGGATGAGGCGGATTGGAGTCGTTTTAAGGCGGATCGGAGTCGGGATGAGGCGGACCGGAGTCGAGTTGAGGCGGACTGGAGTCGTTTTAAGGCGGATCGGAGTCGGGATGAGGCGGACCGGAGTCGAGTTGAGGCGGACTGGAGTCGGGATGAGGCGGACCGGAGTCGGGTTGAGGCGGATCGGAGTCGGAATGAGGCGGATTGGAGTCGGGATGAGGCGGACCGGAGTCGGGTTGAGGCGGACCGGAGGCGGGATGAGGCGGACCGGAGTCGGGTTGAGGCGGACCGGAGTCGGGATGAGGCGGACCGGAGTCGGGATGAGGCGGACCGGAGGCGGGATGAGGCGGACCGGAGTCGGGTTGAGGCGGATCGGAGTCGGAATGAGGCGGATTGGAGTCGGGATGAGGCCGACCGGAGTCGGGTTGAGGCGGACCGGAGGCGGGATGAGGCGGACCGGAGTCGGGTTGAGGCGGACCGGAGTCGGGATGAGGCGGACCGGAGTCGGGATGAGGCGGACCGGAGGCGGGTTGAGGCGGACCGGAGGCGGGATGAGGCGGACCGGAGTCGGGTTGAGGCGGACCGGAGGCGGGATGAGGCGGACCGGAGTCGGGTTGAGGCGGACCGGAGTCGGGATGAGGCGGACCGGAGTCGGGATGAGGCGGACCGGAGGCGGGATGAGGCGGACCGGAGTCGGGTTGAGGCGGACCGGAGTCGGGATGAGGCGGACCGGAGTCGGGTTGAGGCGGACCGGAGTCGGGATGAGGCGGATTGGAGTTGTTTTAAGGCGGATCAGAGTCGGGATGAGGCGGACCGGAGTCGGGTTGAGGCGGACCGGAGTCGGGATGAGGCGGATTGGAGTCGTTTTAAGGCGGATCGGAGTCGGGATGAGGCGGACCGGAGTCGGGTTGAGGCGGATCGGAGTCGGAATGAGGCGGATTGGAGTCGTTTTAAGGCGGATCGGAGTCGGGATGAGGCGGACCGGAGTCGGGTTGAGGCGGATTGGAGTCGGGTTGAGGCGGACGGGAGTCGGGATGAGGCGGACCGGAGTCTGTTTAAGGTGGATCGGAGTCGGGTTGAGGCGGATTGGAGTCGGGATGAGGCGGATTGGAGTCTGTTTAAGGTGGATTGGAGTCGGGATGAGGCGGACCGGAGTCTGTTTAAGGTGGATCGGAGTCGGGTTGAGGCAGACCACATGGATAAGCTGGACCCGTTGGAGCTATTTATTCTTTATCCATGTTAATTTTTTGTTAGTTTATTCTTAAATGTATGTTTTTTGTGTTATTTGGAGAGTTATTTGTAGGTTAATATTGATTTTATTTATTTTTTGTTTTCTTATTTACTTTCTTATTAAGACAGGAAGTAATGTGGGTCGGTCCACTAAGTGTAGGGGCCCGGTTCAGGACCAGCAGGTGTCTGGGCTTGGGGCCTGTGGTTTCAACCAGAGCAATAAAGGAAGCAGGAAAAAAAAAGGAACATTTGAATGTTGTAATTGTTTACTGAAATGGGAAAATAAATCATCCAGATCAATCTACAAGTTTGGACATTGAACCTTCTTTTGCCTGCATACAGAAACTTGACCCCATTGCCTTTTGTGGCTTACAGAAACTTTTCCTGGGTATCTGGTTTGGCAAACAATCACCATTAGACAACCCAACAAGCGTTTTCCCCTGAGCAGGTCACACTGACCCCATCTGTGCTTTTATGAGGGTTTCTTGTGTGTCTTTCAGGAACTGACTGTGTGACCGGACAGCGCCCCCCGCTGCTCTTGATCCATCTAGCAGAGCTAAATGCCAGGCAGTGCATTTGATTTTGTCATTTGGAAGCAGGAAGGCATGATTAAGCTTTCCCCCAAGACTCCAGATGGTTGTCTGCTCATAAAATGTTCCTTAATAGTTCCCAGGGAGTATATTAGAGAAGAAATTAGGCTTTTATACTATAAACTGCTATAATCAATGCTGCACAGGATTGTCAGTCTCTTTCTTTTCTTCCTCGTTAAACAGAGGTTACAAACAAACCATAAATAATTTTGTTTCTGCAGTAAAATGCATCTGTGTGAAGCCGCAGTGTCCAGACTTCATGTCCGGGGAGCCGATCTTAGAAAACATTCACTCAAGGGTTGCCTTCAACTCCACACCTTGTCGTCGCCCTCTGTTTTCTCTGTGGGTTGAAGTGCATGTGACGTTTCTGTCACCACCGTGCAGCTTCAGCCGTCATCCTGCTGCTAGCCGAGCCGAGCCGAGCCGAGCCGAGCCGGGCCGAGCCGAGCCGGGCCGGGCCGAGCCGAGCCGGGCCGAGCCAGGCCGAGCCGAGCCGGGCCGGGCCGGGCCGGGCCGAGCCGAGCCGAGCCGAGCCGAGCAGACCACCTGGGTGTTCTCCACTCTCACGCTTCACGCTGAGCGCTAACTCAATGTGAATATTTCCCACTGTGAGGAACATGTGTTAACAACAACAGCATAAAACTTTCAGGCCAGCATTCTCCCCCCTCTCTGCTCACATGCTCGCATCTTAGACTGATTGGAAACAATTTACTGCAGCTGCTGCGGTTCTGAGCTGAAAATTTGGACTTTTCCATTTTCTGCTGCTGACATTTTTAAAGCTGTGGGCAAATGATACTGGAGACAACCTGAAGTATCGGTTCAGAGAAGTTTGATTTATTGAGTTCTTTATCCGTCTGCTCCATGCAGCTCGTCATTCATTCAGTCGTTCCTTTACTGACCAGTATCTACCACTGGGAGCCGTGTGGGTGATAACTGGTGAACCTTTGCGGAAACTGGACCTGATCCAGACACACGGCGGCCATCTGAAGGCAGCTCCTTTTTCTGCAAAACGCCGAGCAGCAGGTTCTGACCGATTAGCCGCAGTTAACAACAACATAGAAATAACTGAGTTTAAATGGATCAAATCTGGGAGCGGTTCTGCAGTTTTGGTACGGCTAACAAAGAGTCATGGGAGGGACAATCCTCCTTTCATGTCTGATTTAAGAGCTGCATTTCCTGGCATCTTCTATCAATCGCACACAAGTCGACGCCATAAATACCGGGAAAGATTAGCTAAACCACAGCAAAAAGCCAGGGCCTTCGAAGAAAGGAACTGCTTTTCAAGATTTACAAAACAACACAAGGATGCATTTAAGAAACAACCACAACATAAAAAACCATGAGCAGATTAAAGCTGCCTCACTGCAACTTGGTGCATGAAATCCTGCAGACAAATGAGGACAAAACCCAGAATTTTCTCCTGGAGAAGATGAAAAAGCCCTGTGGCTGAATATTAGGTGGTAAAGCACACGGTGAGGGCGAAGAGCAGCATCGAGACACCGAGGATTTGGTCCACATTTACAGCCTGGAGCTGAGAACTGAGGTTCAGATGAATCAACTGAGGGGGAACCGGTTCATGTCTTCAGTTCCTTTTCATTGGTTCATGTCTTCAGTTCCTTTTCATTGGTTCATGTCTTCAGTTCCTTTTCATTGGTTCATGTCTTCAGTTCCTTTTCATTGGTTCATGTCTTCAGTTCCTTTTCATTGGTTCATGTCTTCAGTTCCTTTTCATTGGTTCATGTCTTCAGTTCCTTTTCATTGGTTCATGTCTTCAGTTCCTTTTCATTGGCCCGACGGTGACGGCCTGATCACGACGGCGGCGGCAACATTTTCACTGGTTTTCTTTGGGAAGTTTATTGGTTTGAATAAATGTTTAATTTTTACTTGGTTCTTACGCCATTACTGAGTTTGTTGAATAAAGTATTTTAAGTGGAAGATTGAAGCATTTCTGAGGTTTAGTCAAGTTGCATTTTCTCTCTATATGTAGATATTCTGTTCATGTTATTTAATACCTAACCGTATCAGGCAGAATCTCGTGAGAAAATTCAGAATGAAACCGTTTGGCTCGTATTTCCGTCAGACGTTTTCCTGAAACCAACTGGATTACAGGTTTTTGGTAAAAGCTGCTGTTTACATTAATGAAAGTTTTCAGAACCAGTTTCTGCTCTGGGATCGGAGCTTGTTGCAGGGATGTAATGTGATTATATGTCTCAAGAGAATCTTTACAGTGAGAGCTGTAAGGCTCCACTTGTGAAAATAAATCACTCTGGCTCTCATAAAAACCCTAACAGGAAACTCATGAAAAATGATAAAAACTGAGCTATAAAATTGAAATATCAAGGAATATTTCTGCAGTTTTTATGCAGTCATTGAAAGGAAAAATTAAATGCATTATTTTCACATTTCCAACGGCTTTAGCTTTTCAGACGTTAAAGCTGAAACTATGTCAGAGTAATCAGATTACTTAAAGATGAAGCAGGTGAAACTGGAAAGCCCAGCGGCGTTTCCAGACCCCTGAGGCTCCAGCACATCGAGACGAAATGCAGAACCTCCGGATCTGCCTGATTATTTCAGCTAATGACTGCAGAGCAGAGCAGGTCATTGCTGCTGCCAACATGTGACAGCCAGCACTGATGAATGAGCTCACACTGACTAATGCTGCTCTGCAGCCAGCGCTCTGCAGCCAGCGCTCTGCAGCCAGCGCTCTGCAGCCAGCGCTCTGCAGCCAGCGCTCTGCAGCCAGCGCCGGCCTCTCAGGGCTTTCACTGCGTCGGACAGGAACGGACGACTTCTCATGCAAACTACAGCTTCAGGTTATCAGGCTGCAAATAATCAACAGGAATTATAGCTGTGAGATGGTTTCAGGCGCTTCATTCACAGCTCACTAACTTTCTGCCATAATTACGCGGCTCACTCCAAACTCCAAACCCAGCGAGACAGATAAGACGTGGGCTGCGCTCACCGACGGCCCGCGCGGCCAGCTGGGATGCAGATGCACATCTGGAGGCGGGCGAGCCGCAGGGTGGGAGTAATGAGCTGCCCAGGACGCTGTCCAGACGTCCAGCTCCCGGGACGCCGCTCACGTCACGTGACACGTTCCTGACCGCGCCGCCGTGACTCTGCGCAGCATCTGGGCCGCAGAGCCGCATTCCTCACCAGAAGCCTCCCTTTATTACCTGTTAGAGAAACGGAGAGTGACGCAGGATGATATTAAATGTAGATAAAGTTCTAAATAATGGCCTGGACGTTTGGGAAATGGATGCAGCAGGAGGTTTACACTTTCAGGCTGCGCCCGTTTCCTGCATTGCTTTGGGATTTAGGGATCAATCTTCTCCTAAATCTGAAGGGACCAAGGAGTTCAGGCTGACAGGATTTATCACAGGATTTATCACAGGATTTATCACAGGATTTATCACAGGATTTATCACAGGATTTATCACAGGATTTATCACAGGATTTCTTTTCTTCGTAGAAACGACTGAGTTCCCATGAAGCAGGTGACTGCAGTCAGAAACAGAGCTGCTGCTGCAGAGGCTGTTTAAACGTCCCGCAGCCAGAAGCTGCCAGATTCAGAAGCTTTTAACATCAAATATAGTTTTTATTTTAGTATTTGTTTTCATCAGCTTTTCTACAAATACTGTTTGGCTTCTCCAGTTTAAGAGAGACACATAAAACCGGTGGGTCGGGTCGAGAAGGACTTCATGATGGTTCTGCTGAAGAATTTATGGAAGGAATAGAAACGAGATTAGAGCCAACAGGAGGAAAATTAAGCTACAACCAGAGAAAATGACCCTCCTGCTGAACAAAACCAGAAAAATTCCAGATATAATGAGAAATGAGGCGAAAACCAACAAACTGTTGGTTCTTCTGCAGCGAATCTGTTATTATTTCCACGGGAATCTCAGAAAACGTGGATATGAAACCAACTTCTGATCACAGAGGAGCTTCGGCCTTCATGAGCGCGTAACCTTCCGCTGTACAAAGTAGTGCCAACCAAAATACAACAGCGGCAAACAGAAACATTTTTTCTACTTCGTTTCATACATTATTATAACAGAACCGCGACTATTTTTCATATTTTGCTTGGACAGATGATCCAGTAGTTTTCAGTGAGCCTGGAAACTGAATTTAAATTAATATGAATAATTAATGTTACAATGATTAAAATAAGGAATGATTTATTTTGGAGTATCGTTACAAATACTTATATTTAAATACTGACCTTCCTATCATTCATTTATCGATATTTATTTATGTATTTTATAATTAAAAGTTTCACAAATCACACAATTGGCTTTAAATATTCTGTATTTTATGTAAAATAATGGTTTTAAAGAGTCTAAGCATTTTAGCTTTTAAACTGAATTTTAGCTTTTAAACTCTGTTTGTCGTTTGTCCCAATCAGACGCCAACTTCAGCTTCATGTTTCTTCATATGGTGGCCGGAGTCTTTGTATTATTAATTATTATTTTCATTATTATTAAATGAGTACAAAGAATGTTGTAGCATGGATAGAAAGAGAAGCAAATCCTGGACTGAACACAGACAACAAAAAGGCAAATGAACAGAAATGGAGCAAATTTTAAAACTAAAGGAAAGTCGAGATTCTGCCATGTTTTACATAAACATTTCAAATGTTTCAATGACGTGTAATACACTTTAAATGAACTAGGAAAAGTCAAAGCAGGAGTAAACCTCCCCTCCTACAGCAGGGTTTATGAAATTTAACAAGCAAGAAAACAATATAGTCAGATATTTGTTGATCAAAGTCGTCATATAGTAATCGGTGGGTGATGCTTTTCTCTGGGATGTCCTCAATTTTAAGACACAACCACTTTAATGTCTCTCCATAGTTGAAAAGGAAAAGAGATAATTAATGGACCTTCTGGACATTTACATTCATGTTGAATCAAATTTCAATCTTTTGTGCAAAAATTCAGCCACTGGGTAAAAACTGAGAGATTTTGAAGTGTCTCTTTTACCGGCCATTTTACATACTTTCTCAATTCTAGACAAATATTATTATCATAATCCTTAAATAATTTAGATTGGAAGTCAGTCACATGCATTACATTATTGCACTTTCTATCAGTTATTCTCCAATCTTCACTTTGGGTAAAGATGACATGGAGCAGAGCTGCAGGAATATAATCTCTGCATACTTTTACATATTCATCACAAGAACAGTTCAGATTAAATCTCTACAATTTAACAAAACACCTTCACTGCAAGTCAGTTACAAATACAATACCTTGTTCATGCTGATCAGGTCTAAAAATAGATTTTCATTTATTAGTATTGGTCTGTTATTCCACACTAGGATCCATGTGGGGTAAAATTGTAGGTAAATATTATTTTTCAAAAATGTAAAACTTGTTTATGAAAATTAGACTGAAATCAGAGTCTTGGTCAATTCAAAAGCCCATTTAAGCAAGAAATCCAGGCCAGCCAGGCTTTTAAATATAGATTCATGGATATGAAACCACCTGGAGTTGGAACGAGACAAATATGTCTTTAGCCAATTTACTCTAAATGAACCAATCAGAGCCTGAGAATCTGAAGCTCTACTTCCTCCTTTATCAAAATCTTTAATAAGATGAGAACGTCGTAAACAGTGACTTTTATTCCTCCAGATAAATGGAATGTTTTTGTCAGAAATAATGGATAAATTCATTTGGATGCTCCTTCATGAAAGAGTTTGTCCAAAACTAGTCAGATCTGTAGTTCAGCAGCGGCTCCAGCATGTCTTCATGCCATCCCAGCATCTTGCCATGTTTTCTCCTCTTTTCTACTGGTACTTTTTAAATGATATTCAACTTTGGACTTGACTGAGCTGGATGGGCAGAAGTTCACATTTATCAATATTGAGAGACGACCGTTAGAATGGATTTTAGCGCGACGTCTACCATAGATCTATCTCTTAGAGAAATGCTTGTATCGTCAGCAAATTGACTTATCTTGAATCCTGATCAAAAATTTGTATACCATGCAAATTACAATTTTTCATAATTAGTAAGGTAAGCGTTTGAGTTGTTAATATCAATAATTTAGGTGAAATTGGGGCTGATTCCTCATGACATAGAGAAACTTGTTCCAGAGAAACTGAGCTACTTCTATTACTGTAAAATAATTTGATTATATTACTACATTTCTCCCCAAAGCCAACATATTTGAAGGTTTTTATGATAAAGCAGTGAGTCAAAAGCCTTAAAAAAATCCAGGAATAAAATAAAACTGTCATTATCAATAAAGCTACGATAATCAATTATATGAAGAATGAGTCTCGTATGATGATGGATATTTGTCCCCTTTAAAAACGCTGATTGCCACTCATTAATAATCGTTCAAGCGATTGGCATAAACAAGACTGTACACAACAGAGTGACGGGTCTCCAATTGTCTCGTGATAAAGGATCTTTGTTTCGTGGATCAGACCTCGTTCCATGGTGGAAACATTATTGTCTGAAATTCATCCAGCAACGTTCCCTCTAATTGTTCATGTGTCTGGGCGTACACACAAGCTTCCTGAACACACTGAGCATCATCAGTGTACACGGCGTGGCCACTGAGGACCACTGTGAGCATCATCAGTGTACACGGTGTGGCCACTGAGGACCACTGTGAGCATCATCAGTGTACACGGTGTGGCCACTGAGGACCACTGAGCATCATCAGTGTACACGGCGTGGCCACTGAGGACCACTGTGAGCATCATCAGTGTACACGGCGTGGCCACTGAGGACCACTGTGAGTATCATCAGTGTACACGGTGTGGCCACTGAGGACCACTGAGCATCATCAGTGTACACGGTGTGGCCACTGAGGACCACTGAGCATCATCAGTGTACACGGCGTGGCCACTGAGGACCCCTGTGAGCATCATCAGCGTACACGGCGTGGCCACTGAGGACCACTGAGCATCATCAGTGTACACGGCGTGGCCACTGAGGACCACTGTGAGCATCATCAGTGTGCACGGCGTGGCCACTGAGGACCACTGTGAGCATCATCAGTGTACACGGCGTGGCCACGCACAAGTATCATAAATCTGGGATCATAGAAAGTTGCATGGCTTATTACAAAAATCAAATTACATCAGCAATTTTTATTCGTTTGCTTTTAATTTAAGTGATTTGCTCAATTAAAATAATAATAAAAAGAAAACATTGCTGTTCATGAGATGCATGCTATAAGTAAGAGTCCTGCTTCAGCCAGGGTGAGAAATGAGACATTACACCTTTCAGACATAAATGTTTGTTCATATTAAAACATTCATATTTTGCACAATGAAATGTTTTCTGTAGCTTGTGATGCAGTATAAATTCTTGTAAAATATTTAATTACAGTTTTTTTCACGTCTGCCCTTCTCACTTCTCCAGTGGTTGTTCACTTAGCCCAGGTTGATGGTCAGTCTGCTTCTTGCTTTATGTGCTTGAATTCAGCATATTGACTGTTAATGGCCTCCATAATCTGTGGGTGGAGGAGAATGGCCTCATACTTCTTTGCCAGTGTACAAATGTCTGCTTATCTATAGTCAAAAGTCTGAACTCAACATTTCAGTATCAAATTCAGACCATTCCTTTCATTTGATTTGATTCCATTTGGTCTTAGAAGAAGTGCATTTCTTTTTTTTTTACTGTGGCTTGGTGAGTGGATGTCCCACTAGACATAATAAGGTGATGGCTTTCACGTTTCTTAACTCTACCGCTCTATTCTCACCTGCACGGCCATATGACCAAGGTACGTAACCCACGTAGCGAAAGTGAACCGTATCGTATCATTGGCTGGATTCCTGTCACTCACTGAGTTCGATAGCAAAGTAGTACGGAAAAAATTTATTGGTCCATAGTCAAAACTGATGTCTGAGCTCAATGTCCACTTTACGTTGGACTTTATTTTATGCGCTACATAGATTTTCTTGTGCGCTGAGAATATGTGAGCAGTGCGCGATGGCGCAGCTTAGAGGGAACATTGGACTCAAGTAATAGTTTTCAGAACAGAAAGTAGAAATTCAGCGTCTCATCCAGGAGTTTTACCGTTTGTTGTGTTGCTTCGTCTCTTCGAGTCTCAAATTCAAAGGTTTTTAAAATCAAGATTCATTTTTTCAACAGACTCCTGAATTTTATCAAACAGACACTGGCATTAAATACCTGGAACAATAAATCACTAGAACAATTTCTAATTGCTGTGTGGATTAAATCCAGGCCTTCAGTTAATAATCAGTTTCTGTCTCTTGATTTTCAAGATTGAAAAAATATGAAGATTTCATTTCTCCATCCACCGAGTCCTGAGCGAATAAAAGCCCCGTGATTTATCTAGAAAAACATCGTCTAGATGAGCTTCGAGAACATCAGGCTGATTCAGCTCTTCAGATGAGGAAACTGATTTTGAACACAGAATTAATATTGCTAATAAGTTGGGATTGTTTCTGTCTCCTCAGCTTGGGAACAAGTTTGCCTCTTTATTGCTGTTGTCCTGACATTCAGTTTAAGCCACTCCCACTTATTTAAGGGAGACTGAAATATTCAGAATAGAAAGTTTTATTATCCAGGAGATTACTATTAAACTTCCAAGCTAAGTTTGAAGGTTTACATTCATTCAGAGAGAGAAACAAGGTAACAGAGCAATGATCTGTTAGAGGAGCCGCTGAGATTTCAGTTTGAAATATTATTTACCAGATTATGAGAGATTAACCAGTAATCTGCCCAAGAGCATTGGCCGTTTCCGGAAGGATTGAACCAGGAATATTATCTGATATTAAGATTTCTAATTCTCCAGCCGCCTGTCAAATTTCTATTAGAGATCAAGTTTATAAAGATATCATTATAAATGTGGTGCTGCCCCCTAGAGGGGAGACGATCAAGCGATCCATCTGGAGTTGCATTAAAATCTCCTCCTAAGATAACCTGATCAGTGCAATATTTTATTTTCCATTGTTTTATCATTAGGTCAGAAAAAATACGCTATTATCGCTTTATTATTATGTCCATATACACACACCAAAATGATCTTGTTTCCACCAATCTCCACTATTAGTTACCCAGTGGCCTTGTGTATCACTGATATGATCCAACAAAGAACCTTTTATAAATCATAACCCAGAACTAAAATCAATTGGATCACACCAGTTCAGCCTCCTCACTTAACGAATGAGTTTCCTGCAGAAAAAAACAATTTGCCTTTTGCTCCTTGCAATAAGGAAAATTAGCCTTACGTTTAACAATATTTTTTAAACCTCTTGTATTAAGTGAAAGTAAAGATAACATGAAATAAACACAGGAACTGCCAGGAACGCTGAGCAGGAATGAGATGAGAGCCAGTAACAGCTGTAAGGAATAGCGCATTAGCCCTTTAAACAGATAGCGCATTAGCCCTTTAAACAGATAGCGCATTAGCCCTTTAAACAGATAGCGCATTAGCCCTTTAAACAGATAGCGCATTAGCCCTTTAAACAGATAGCGCATTAGCCCTTTAAACAGATAGCGCATTAGCCCTTTAAACAGATAGCGCATTAGCCCTTTAAACAGATAGCGCATTAGCCCTTTAAACAGATAGCGCATTAGCCCTTTAAACAGATAGCGCATTAGCCCTTTAAACAGATAGCGCATTAGCCCTTTAAACAGATAGCGCATTAGCCCTTTAAACAGATAGCGCATTAGCCCTTTAAACAGATAGCGCATTAGCCCTTTAAACAGATACCAACCAGTGGGGTGAAGCAACATGGCGGTGGGTTAGGGTGCAGGTCGTCAGGGTGAAACCTTCCTCCAGGTTTCATCCTGTCCTCCTTCAAGCTGATCTGCTTTTCCTTACAAACTTCAGCATCTGTTTCCTCCAGGCCTCATCCTGCAGTTCGCATCCCGAACCGAACATGAAGCTCTGGGTCGGTTGTTGGAGCGACGGCGGCTCCGATCTGTCAACAGATCTCCATGGAGACAGGACAGTATCCATGGACACAGGACCGTATCCATGGAGACAGGACCGATCCGAGTGAGGATCCCAGATTCCTGAAGGTTCTCCTCAGGCCTTCCGATCTCCACCAGGTCCGGTGTCGGGTCCGGTCTCAGGTCCGGTCCGGTGTCCGGTCTCGGGTCCGGTGTCGGGTCCGGTCTCAGGTCCGGTCTCGGGTCCGGTGTCGGGTCCGGTCTCAGGTCCGGTCTCGGGTCCGGTGTCGGGTCCGGTGTCGGGTCCGGTCCGGTGTCGGGTCCGGTGTCCCTCGGGTTCCTCCAGCAGAGCCTCAGCGCTGAATTTCCCAGTTTCAGGTTGAGGCTGCAGCAGAAGCTCTGTTGTTGATTTA